TCAGTTCGCAATAATCCTGCAAAATAAAAAATTACGAGGGTAAGTGGTAGGATGTGCCCTGGCCTCGGGCGAGGACACTAAAGTATATATTACTATCATCGCTAACCCCTACTGGACCAATGGTGAGCGCGTGCATGTCGGGTAGTGTCCGCTGACCTCGGGCGAGGTCATTGAGGTACATTTATTGGTTGTACCACTAACCCCAAGTAGAATAATGGCGAATGAGTGAAGAAGTTGGTAGATTTTTGGAATGTACCCTATACAAAATTTGTAGGTAAGCGGTTATTCCCATAGTTAATTTGAAAAGCCATTTACTTAATATACTGACTTAGACGGCTGTTGTATATGGTAGCCTTCCGAGGACCTCTTAGCAGATTGTGGAAAATTCAACCTACTCAAAATGTTTAAGTAGGTGGGTATAATACATAAGTACCCTTCTGAGAACCTAGTACATGCTCTTAGCCCAGTCAACACCTTAAAACTAGGTTACAGTAGTCAAATAAAAGTTGATTACTTAAAAGCTGGCAAGTTTTCTGAAGAAGGGCGCAAAAATTTGCATGATTTTTTTTTCGAATTTGAGGGGTCATACATTTATCTAGGTTTTTATCATTGTTTTTGAGAATTAAAGATGGTTTATATTGTTACTCCAGTAATACTACGCTGCTCAGTCGCCGGCGTCCAAAGCCCTGCGCAGTCACCGTTAGTTTGTACGGTAAACTTATGCACAAGTTCGAGAACTCAGAATAATAAACGAGCTGTTCTGGCATTCGACCAGTCTTCTCCTCTACTTCGTCCTAGTTCAGCTGACTGGAGTTCAGTGCGCCTGGAATATCTTATTTATTATTTTTTCTTCCTGTTTATGCCTCCCAGTTTCCAGTATTTCAAGTCGCGCACTCGCGTTTTTACGCCTGATTGATCTACTTAAACAAACGTGCAGTGTAAGTCTATGTTTGATCTTTCGCTTCCCGAAAACAGCTCCGTATCACTTCTTTCTACCTCACTCATAGAGCCTTTATCATTCCCCTTCTCGTATTACGAGCGTATTTGCTTGCCGTTTTGCGAGTGGGCCACGTATCCGTTTTGGAAAGATTGATTTTTAGGGCCTCTCTAGATATCTATCTCTTCCGCCCACCTGGTTAACGTGTTTTGTGGTCAAACATTTAATTATTGGCTAGCGAGCGTAAATTACTATGTAATTGTGGCGGAAGTAATCAAAAAATATTAAATTAAATAAGATTAATATGTTTCAGTATGCTAAAGTAGAATAAAATTCAATCAAAATAAACTTCTGTTGCGCAGGATACGAATGTTAATCGAGGGGGATTCCACCTTATGTAGGCGGAATTTAACGAAAATGGAAGTTCGTCCTGCTATTGGTGGAATTTAACGAAAAAATTTAAAGTTAGGCTGCCGAACGTTGAAAGGTGGTTTTTTTATTATAAGTCGACGGGGTTTTGGGGCCTCTAAAATCAATCCTGCCTCCGTTTTAAACACCTTCACTCCAATATCTCCCTCTTTCCCTCTGCCGCAAACTAGACCTTCTACGGCAGGTGCTGACTGTCGTTTTTTCAAACCAACCAACGTCGGCTGCTGCCACCGCTGCTGCTGACGCGGAAGACGGACTCGAGGATGACAGTCTAAGTGATGCCGAAGTGGAGACGGAGGAAATTCCTCCGGATAAAAAGGCCGCCTGGTGGTTTTGCGACATTGCTGGAGGCCCCGCCGCAGCCGGGGACTCTTCGCAAACGGAAACCGACTGTCGTCTGAAGGCTGCTGTTTTGTTGGCGCGGCAGCTCTTCTCAGAAGATTCGCGCGTCGTCGGTTGCACCTATCGACAGTGGTGGTCTGAACACTTCGCTTCCACGCCATCCAGTCTTCCAAATGGAGTCAGTTTCTCCTGTTTTTACCATGAGACTTGTGCATTTTGCTGCTGTTGTTGATAGTAGAACCGTTTTTGAGTCGGTGCTCGTTGTTAACTAACTCAATCCACACAAGAACAAGGGTCGAATTTTAGCAGATGAGTTAGTAAGCCGGGATTTTCGAAAACACCCGCATTTACTACAAATAACTAACTACTTATTTCATTATAGTAGGCATAACTATCAACGATATGAGTATACTTTAATCATCACGACAGGAGGGGAGGGGGAGCAACAATGAATTTTGGGTGATTTGGACTGCAGAATACCTTTGCACTGACGAGTTACGGTCAGTTATGGATATACGTGTGGTGGTGTAGCGGTCTAGGATGTGCGATCTACTAAAACCACTACAGT